CCATCCCTCTCCAACTAGGGAGTTTGGTAAAGAGAGATGAACAACCCCATTCGTACCTGTGTGGGCTGAATATGCCATAGTGTAATATGGGCTGAAGTTGGGTCCCCCGACCATATGGCTCGATGAGATTGTGTGTGTGTGTGCGAACTCTACACAGTCAGCCACGCACTACGACAATTGCCATGACACGGGGCTTTTCCACATCCAGAACCCGAAGAGGTAAGACGTGTCTCCGGCAACAGCGCGCTGGGTGATTCCTGAGTGGCAAATGGATCTTCACAGTTTGAACAATCCATTCGACGCTTGTCTGCGAGCTTTTAACGATAATAATGAGGATTTGGATTTTGTGATTAGCAAAAGTACTTTTAAAAATATGATTAAGAATATTAGGTGAAGTAGTCTGTGCGATTTTTTTTTTATCGAAGATGAAACAGTAAATAAATAAGATCTTAGCTCCATAATAATTTGAATAATGTGCATATTATAATGAAGCTTTAAAATGCTCGGATGATGGGTTGAATATGTCTATAGAACACCAAGCTCATTGTCATTTACACGTTTTCAGGATTTTACGGAAAATTGCGTTTCATTGTTAACTAGTGCATTAGGGTCTTTTTTGACACGGCGTCACATAAAAAAAAAAAGCTATAATATCGTAATGAAATATGATAGAGACCTGAAAATCTTTTTTAGACAGATTAAGTAATTTTTGTGTATGAAAAGCGTTCGGCTTTATAAAACGTTTAGATTGCCAAAAATTGAGGGTACTGGTCCAGTTGTACTGTATCCAGGCTTGATGAAGCCTCGCTCTTGAGTTTAAAATGAGCCGAGTGTAGCATTTTTCTGAGGAGTAGAATGCCTACTGCCAAATCATTCCACTGAGCTTCAGAGCTTGTGAGCGAAGGGGGATAAAATGAGAGCGAGGTTTGCTGCCTTTCATGTTCATGTTTTCTATCACACACTCTCACTCTGGGTGAACTCTGAGCTTCTTGCGTCGAACAAAAAAGTCATCTGGAGTCTCGAAAAGCGCACCTCACGTCAAATCATCCTCTCGCTGAAGTTCACTCTCCCTCTCTCTCGAGAAGTTTTTGAATCCTTCTTCCATATGCCTGCCGCCACTCACTCAAGGTGAGGGCTGGCTAAACTCGTAGGACAAGAGTGTTTTAAACCCTCCGGATAGTTTGAGGAGTTTCAGCAAGCCTGACTGTACCTTTGTTTTTCCTAGTTTTTTAGCTTCATTTTTAAAGAACAAGAAGAATATCATAAAAAAATGGTTCAGGACCAATTAATTTCGTGGATGACCCTATTTTTCCCAATTGATCATCAGCTTTTTCGTTCCCTTCTATTCCACAATGACCAGGATCCCAATAAAGGTTAACCTATTTCGACAGGACAGTTGCTGTAATAGTTTAGTACATTCCCACACCAGTTTGACGTGAAAAGAAGCTTTCAGCGACCTCTAGGAGTGTCGCTACAAAAAAGTGATACATTGTCCATTGGGCACAGAACAGAAGGGGAAGTGCAAACAAATCGGTAAATCAAAAAGTGATACATTTTTCTGCTCAACAAGCGATGCGTTGTGGTAGCGTTTCAGATGGGCTTTCTATGCGCATTCACACTTCACATTGGCTATATCCTGCCAGGTTTTTCTAATTCGTACAACAAAAATTTGGAACCTGTCTTTTGGAAAATAGTTCGAACTCATTGAAACATGCACAAGCTACAAGGAATCACCCAGCGGCAAAGAAAAAGTTATATAGTGAAATTCGAGGTTATGTTTGGCACGTGTTCTCTAGAGTCCGGATTCAGGGAAAGGAAAGTCGGCGGAATAGCACGTCCACTACACGAATAAGACGATTTTGAGAACTACCAAATGCCTGTGTGAGTCGCGGAACCACAATCGATCGAGTAAAGTGAGTCAAAATCAGAACAAATCGTGTTGGAACCGCTAACCTAAAAGCGAGTCGAAACCGCTGAAAAGAAAGCGAGTCTGAATCACAAAATCGTGTTGGAACCGTTGAGTTAAAAGCGAATCGAAACCGCTGAATAAAGCGAGTCGGAATCACTAACGCCTGTGAAAAAAAAGCGAGCCGGAGCCGCAGCACAAAAATCGTATCGAAACCGCTAATCGAAAAGCGAGTCTTTACCGCTGAAAAAAAATGAAAAAGAGCGCTTCGGAATCGCTAACCGAAAAGCAAACCAAAACCAATGAAAGGAAAGCGAGTAAATAATGTCCGTAGCGGAATAGGACGTCCACGACCGAAACCCGAAATACTGATTCTAAGAACAGTCAAACCATTAACCTCGGTCTCGAAATTAAAGGAAGCACTTTCTTTTTTTTGGCAAAATCTTGACATGCGTACGCATCTCATTGTCTCTTACAGATACTGCGTAGCAAACTTCAAAGTCAACACCGATCCAAGCAGTAGGATTGAAGAAATGGCATGCAAGAAGCGATATATCCTAACGGCGGATTCTGCCGAAACAGACGGTAGCAACATCGAGCTTGCCTGTTTCGAGGAAGTACGCTCTGACGAAACTGGAACTGAAACCCATTCTGACAGCAACAAACCAGCAGACACCACTCAATCTCGGCCAATCCCAACGAAACCGCTAGTGACAACGAGCACGGATACGATGCGGACATTGAAGGCACCAGAGGCTACACGAACAGCACGGGAAAGGAAGGCTCCATCTCATCTGAGCGATTATGTTAGATTGATCGATAGTAACACCACCAGATAATCTGTTGATCCGCCTACAATTAAATTAAATCATCTACGTAAAATACACTTTTTCCTTCATAACTAATTTCAACCATTTTTGATATGGAAACAAATCTGGCTCGTTTAATTTTGAAACTTACGTCGAATAAACAAAATCCTCCCCACTCACTTACGCGACCAACGCGAGTTGTTTTGTTTTGGAAAATTTGACAGTTTGCAAATAAAAGGGAATCTAGGCTACCCAGTGTAAAATTTCTGGGTGCGCTGCGTCTATGAGGTGAATGAGCTGGTGTGGGAATCGAATAGAGATGTGGTGCGGTGAAATAAATTCTACTAACTTTTATTTCTTCTTTCATGAACTGTGTGTTGCGCAAAAAAAAAAAAAAAAAACTTCTCGCTCTCCTACCGCCGTTTTCGCTGTAGAAGCGCGAGAAATTACGAAGAAACGAGCAATATTTATTTTACTGTGAGAGTATGAGCCATATGAGGCTTTGAATTTCAAGTATTATATACAAGTCATCTGAATTTTGGAAAGTACTGTTATTGGTTTTGCTTAAAAAAATCTAGAGTACCGAAATCTTGAAAAAAAAAATAACTTTGAAAGGTACATAAAAAAAAAAAGAAGAGAAAGAGATTGCATTCTCATTTTATTCTGAGAAAGGGGGATGTGTGGGCTGAATATGCCATAGTGTAATATGGGCTGAAGTTGGGTCCCCCGACCATATGGCTCGATGAGATTGTGTGTGTGTGTGTGCGAACTCTACACAGTCAGCCACGCACTACGACGATTGCCATGACACGGGGCTTTTCCACATCCAGAACCCGAAGAGGTAAGACGTGTCTCCGGCAACAGCGCGCTGGGTGATTCCTGAGTGGCAAATGGATCTTTACAGTACCTTCCTCAAAGTTGCCCTTGCTCTTTTTCTACTCTATATACAATTTTCACACTGCCGTACTCTAACGGAACTGTCAACTCTATACTTTCATCTCCTCCATCTATCGTATAAAATTACCACTTTGAGTCTGTTATTTGAAACATAACTTCACGCAGAAGTAATATAAACAAAATAGTTAAAGTATTTTAATTGTTTTTCAATAGTTGCTCAGTTGAATTCTCAAGATCACATATGGAGCAGAATGAGCATGCGTAGAAGCTGCTTAAATGAGTGCTGACTATTTAATGGTAAATTGTCAAACATGAGACGGACCGAAGAGTTGTGGGAAGTAGAGGGTTAACCAATTAGAAAGCTTAGCTTTTCAGCTGTTGTGAGAGGGGAAATTTTTTTTTTGTTACGTTAAAAGATATGTTTCTTATGATATTGCTGACTGCATCTGAAACTGGACTGTCCCAAAAATGCAAAAAGTGTGATAAAAGTGCACGTTTCCGTCAAATCGTTTTGATGTCTTCGGAGCACTTATTGCTTGCATCATAAGGACACCAGACGATTAGACGTAAACTTGCAGTTTTATCACACTTTTTAATAAGTGAAAACGCGCTTATTAGTCCAATTTGGTGTGAAATGCGCAATATGTTGCTTCGTTTGATTTTTGTTTGATTTTTTTTTTATTTAATTATAGTCACTTTAACACTCGTGGGTCATTCGTGACTTGTCCGAGGGTGAGATTTGAACTCGTGACTTTGGCGTGAGAGGTATGGATGTTAACCACTACGCCGGGGTCGCCCCCTGATTTTAAAAGTTTATGATGGATTTCGTTCGTTTTCACCAATGACCACAGACACTTTTAAAACTGTACATTCAAGATGACGACGAATTTTTGATACGGTGATTTTTTGGACCATTTTCTACAATAGAATAGCTTTGGAACACATTTAATACACACTGATATGTTCTAGGTGCCCTTGTGATACTGACCAAAATCTGTCATGGATCTAGGTGAAATAATGAAGTCCGGAATAGTGATAGTCCGCATCGACCCAGAACTAATAAGCAGCTAAGTAGCACATTAAATAACGTTAGTACAAATCTGTTATTGAAACAATCCACATGTCACTTGTATTCCTCCTAAACCAATTAACCTGCAGTCAGTTGATACACCCCTCGCATGCAGCATAAATTTGAGAACGAGAGAGCTTTACGTTACACATGATTTGGATGCTGCTGCTGCTACTTGCAGCTGCACCTTCACTCTACAGATCGTTCTGCATCAGTTCTAATTCAACACTCCGCGACGACGCGCGACACACGCACTTCGGAAATCGTTATTTTCAGATTGTCTTTACTTTTGCCATTTGTTTTCGTCTGCTAATTATAGACACAATGGATCAGATTCGGTCGCTGTACGCCAATGTGAAGGACGATCTATTACTCGGTCCCCATCAGGGCAACAAGGAAGACAAGAAGAACCACAATGTGACCAACGGAAAACAGCAGCAGGACCGCAAGCGATCACCTGCACGTGGCCAACAGCAGAGCAAAGCCAAACAGAAGCAGGAAACGGACAAGAAACAACCGGCCAAGCCCAAGTACAAAGATCTAGGGGCGGCGCTGAAAGCAACCATCGTCAGTGACCTCCGAGCGCACCTGTGGGCAGTGAATGAAAACTTCAAAGACAATCAGCTAATGGCACTCAAAGCGATAACATCGTTCCTGAATGAAAACCTACGCGTAGATGTCGTTGATCCCGTTTTTGCAAACAAATCCCTTGCCTACCCATATGACGTGCTTCCTGAGGATCTGAAAGATCTGATTGATGAAACTATATCCAATGCAGGTGACCAGAACGTGCAATATTTCTACGATCTCTCGTTGTCCAATTTGACGGGCGACATGAACAAAAATTTACCGCATCTTGGACACAAGATCCTGCTGCAGGCAATGGCCGTTCACGATCCGCAGATCTGCGTGAACAATCTGGCCCGGAATGCAATCCTGCGGAATTCGTTTCAAAACCGCAGCAACATTGGGCTCAGTTTGCTGTGGGCTCTCGGTCAGGGCGGCTTCCACGATCCCAGTGTGGGTCTTAAGGTTTGGCAAGACATCATGGTACCGGTCATCGAGCTCAAAACCTACAGTAAATACGTATACGAATATGTTCATAAAATATTGCACCAGAACACGACTGCCAAGTAAGTATTTTAACGTTCATTCTCTTAGGTTTTTTTTTTCTTCTTTCTGGTGATGTGTTGTTTGGAGTCAGTGGGAGAGAGAGATTATAAAGCATTTCGTCACTGGGTGATCGGTAGCGTGTGCAGGGGCGATTGTTGTTGACCGTTCTGCGTTCCACTGTACTACATGAAGTGTACGGGATAATCTCTTTCCTGAATATTATTGGGCTAAAGTGTTTGTTTGAGGAAACAAGAGGGTTTTTTTTGTGGTGGTCAAAAAGAGTTAATCTGCTAAAATATACCTCAAATTTGAAATAAATTGAGCAATAAAGAAAATAAAAAAAATAAATGTTTTTTTTTATAACTAAGTAACTAGGTACAATAAAAATATTGTCTATTAAAATTTTCTGTACAGTTGTGAAAACCAGCTGCTAAGCTTTTAAATGCAAGGTTGTACCGGTAATTCACAGAGTATCATTTGACGTTCAATTCCAGACACACAAAAATCAAGGAAAACTTGCAAAATCTCGGACCGAAGAAATTTGTTAAATTTTGGTCTTTGCAAAAAAAAAATTAAGAATCCAAATTAAAAAAAAAAATTCACGCAACCGAATGAATGGAGAAAAAACATAGACTCAAGAAAAAGAGGTATAGTCTCTCGGACAAGGGACAATCTTTAAGAGGTTTTAATTTTTTTTATGAAGATCAAAGACTAAAAAAAACAGAATGTAACATTTTTTAGGTACCGTAAAACGGGGTAACATTGATAGTTTTTCAAAGTATTTTCTAATTATTTTTACAGCAATGCATGTTTTTCAAATTTATTTATTTTTTTAAACAAGTGCTGATGATGCTAGAGTTAATTCGTTAGTAATATGTTTAATGGAAATTAAAGCATTTGCACTATTTTTTTAGTTTTGTGACCGAACATTAGTTTTTTGATTTGGGGTTACTTTGATAATGCTTGATGAAAATAGGAAGAAAAAGGGGGAACTGAAGCAATTTAGTTCTTGAAATATGAAACTTTGCATGAGTATATAGTCAGAATACATCATAAGCAATAAGAAAACAACATTGAATTTGTGATGGCTATATAGGAAACACGTTTCATAAGTGATGGTTTGAGTGTTTTTCAAACAGGTGAAAAACACGAAAATTGTGTTTTAATATGTTTGTAATATATGTAACATGTACTAAATAAAAACAACTTACGATATCAACGGAAATGCTCTAAGCTACAATATGGAACCAAAGTTTATAATTCGGAAAAAGCGCAATCATTCAATTTACTATCAAAGTTACCCGCATTATCAAAGATACCTCGTTTTACGGTACTTTCAAACTTCAGGGCTAAAAATGTTTGCATCTATTGATAAAACAAATCTATCAACAAATAGGTTTCTTCCATAAAAGTACTGCTGGTCAGTGGGAAATGAATGTACACACACACACATCCAAACTTCTCGAACTTGTTTTCCGTCGATCTTGTTTTTCGTACGGAGTATCAATGCTATCGACGCCAGGGAGGCAGCGACCTACCTATCTACCTATCAACTCATAGACCGGAGACCAACGGCTTTACGAAGGAAGGCGTGATCAGAGGTTCCACCACTTTATTATTTTCTTATAAAAATATTCAACATGACTAACTAAACTCGCCTACAGCCGGCGTATTTATTGCCTTCCACGATGTTTCAGATTTCCAGCGAGCTCTCGTTTGATTTTTTAAATTCTTTTCTTTTTTTCTTTTTAATGATATTTGCACTAAATAAATGAAAAGTCTGGTTTACCACACCTACAATAAATTTTTCAGTCGTATTTTACCATTTCCTACAAATTTAACGCCAACTCGTCCAGTGTTAGGCAACACCCTCTCTCACACTAAGATTATTTTACCGAAATCTATGAAATTTTACCGAAATCTCAACAGCTGAAGGTTCGGTAAACAGTTCGGTGATTTTCCACAGATTTTCTGTGATTTTTCGCAGATATTCGTTGAAAAAATTACAGGAAAACTGTGAAAAATCACCGAACTATTTATCGAACGTTCAGCTGTTGAGATTTCGGTGAAATTTCACAGATTTCGGTAAAATAATCTAAGTGTGCAGGTTGCAATAAAGCTTTGTAAATGCAAGGAATTAGTCTTAATTACTATTTTGGCAAAATAAGTATTCTAAGTTGCTGAACTAAGGATGTGGCTCCACGCTTATAAAGTTTCGTTGAATTGTAAAGGTACTAATTTTTTTCAGTGCAGTCAACCAGGAAAATTAGGACAAAAATCGGGAATTTTGATAATTCACCTGGAAAATATTCTTGTTTTAATGATTTCAAATAATTGATTTTGGCTCAAGTGATTCAAAACTAATGATTTCGTTCTAATCTAATCTAACACCATCACAGCCAGTTCTTGAAAGCATCCTGAAAATCATTGATAAACCTTCATCATTTTTCTTGTCTATTTGAAATATGTTTCACAAATAATACTTTCCAAACCAACCGCACTTGGACAAAACATGTTACCCACATTTAAGTTCAGATTACTCAAAATCGCTTAAACGTAGGTCACTCATAGTTTGAGTAAATTTTCCGATACTTTCCCGGGGAAAACTTCTTGAATATGGGGAAAATTAAAAAAAAATGCATACAGGTTAGAAGTGCACTAGTAGACAAATTAAAACCACAATTCGTTTTCGCGAATTTGAGTAACCTGAACTCAAATATGAGTAACTTTGACTCAATTTTGAATCGTTCTCATTGACCATGCATGCGGATTTTTTTTAGAAAAGTATGTCAAAGGCGTGTTAAGATTGCAGGGGGTGGAGTCGTATGGCAAAGTGTTACAATCCTTTTTATTTAGTATAAGAAATGTACGTTATGTAGGGGTGGATAGTATTTAAAAGCAATCTGATGCATTACGTAACATTTTAATGGGCCCTAGGAATTCTTTCATTTATTGAGCATTACACGTTATTAGTATGTTGATAGCGATAAATGATATGCTTGTATTACTCTGATACACGGTGGCTACTCTGTCATTGCCAGATCAGCTGTAATTACACAGAGAACCAATAGACTAGTAATCATCCTCAATGTGTAAAAACGGTCTCAAACTAGGCAATACCAGCGCCGGCCGCGCTCGAACGCAGGTCAAGAAAGGAATGGGTAGGAATGTGTTGACGTGACACTCGCTTTGATGGAAGCCGAGAAATCCTCTGCAATTCCACGAGGAGTCACTGGGATGTTGGGTAGGGGGGTAGGGTTTGGGTTTTGGTAAACGGTATAGCGCGAAGGAAATTGGGATTGAACCCCACACTAGGCAAATGAGTTATTACCCTGTAGTCATATTAACAAATAAAACGATTGACGAATCTTGAATGTGGATGGGCCTGAGATTAAATTCATGATGTTCTACTCAGTAAGCAAAAGCGGTCGCTCTAAGGCCACCGAGCCTCTCATATCACATCATACCGTTACTCGAGTTGTTGTAACCATTCAAACCCGGCATCGACGACGACGGCAACGAAGTTTCGCAAAATACACGATAAACAAGCAAATTAACGATACATTTCTTTAATATGACCTGGGAGCGCGTAATTTCTGCTCAGTAAAAAAGCCACTGCAACCGATGATCTCTCAAATTCGAAAACTAAAAGCTACGAAAAGGCACTTAGGCCTTCATTAAGTTCCACTTTCACGCAACGTTCAATGTTTTGATTTGCTCTTTACGTATTGTTCAAGCTATCATAACAAGCTATGACCGACGTGACGATTATTTAAGCCCTGGTTAAGCAAGCAAAATGAAATTGCGTTCTTGACAGCAGCCAATAATGCAGTGGCGTCACGTCCACACATTATAGCTGCATGTACTTCTTTACTCCAGACCACATGTGACCATGAAAACACTATTTTATAGTGGGGTTCAATTAAATGTTCAACCATGGATTGCTTCAAACATGATTAAATTCAGTTCGGATGGTCTGCCTAATCCCTAATGCATTGATTTCTAAGCATGTCGATATTACTACCATGACAAAACTCGTCAAATAGTGCACCTAAAAGCGATCTTTTTGGGTGGCGGGTGGCAAGTTTGTGAATGGTCAAATGCCTGATGTAAGCCAAGCAGACCTTCTATCACCTCTTGAAACATACCACAAATTTTTCACGATACATGGCAGTTTGCACCACTAGTTGTAATTCAAATTTTCAGCAGTCACGAGTCAAACGGGAGCAACACGGAAACAGTAGTCTGGTACGCTTTGGATGTGTATCATACTTGCAGACCGGTTTGAATGTGTGAGTTTAAATTAGAAGAACATTTTTGATGTATGGGTGCCTAAAGTGTGCAATTCTCGCAGTGCACTTGGATATCTGATTGCAGGCAAAGAGAGCAATGGAAAAAGAGAGCGCAAAAGCTCGCTTTCACTCTATTTACAGTTGTAAATCTCTCAATTACCGATGGTTGCGCCGGTGCGCCTGTCAAAACTTATTAGCTTTCCCTGGCTCATTCTGATAGTGTTGTTTAGAGTTGATTAATTCAAGTTTGCTACCCAGGGGACTACATCAATTTTCTCTAGATTTTGACACCTTTTTTTTTTTTTTTCCTTTGGTTTGTTTTTTTTCGTCGATCTTGTTTTCCGTGCTGAGCACCAATGCTACCGACGTGCCAGGAAGGCCTCCCACACCTGGACCCTACCTATCGACCCATCAACTCATGAACCGGGGACCAACGGCTTTACTTCCCATCCGAATCAGAGATGTTATGCCTCAGAACATCCCGGCGGCGCCGACTGGGATTGAACCCAGGCCTGCTGGGGTGAGAGGTAATCACGCTTACCACTACACCACCGGCGCCGTTATTTTGACACTGTTTTGTATCAAACAATGTTTTCGGAAGTGTTTGACGGATATTCTTCATTACACTTCAGTCGAAAGAGTTAGCCTTGTGATAAAAACGAGAATTAGTTAGGTTTTGCAATTCCTCCTGCTTCGATTAGCGCGAAAAGGGCCATACAAGTTTTGTT